ATGCATACACACAAATACAATAAACAGGACACACACAAGCAGCAAGGTCTGAAAAAACATTACGTACTCACAAAAAGCTTGCCGAATGGCTCTCTCCTCCCATCGATTAATTTCCCGCACTTCTGTCTTAAGTTATCAAAGAGGCCCTTAAGTTTTGTTGGAACATTAAGTTCTCTAAAATTAATGTTTATTCTAATTTTATAGAAACCTTATCCTTCATTGATCATAACCACTTTAACATACACCCTCTCTCTGAATATATCAAGATAATTAAGAATTTCACTATGAAAAATTGAAAAATCACTTTCAATCACATTTACAGAAAAGTGAATAAATGTGCTAACTTGCTAGTCCACAGACATTTGGAGATAGCTTTGATATTATGGTTTTAGATAACTCATCTCCTTATTGCATCAACCTTATGATTTTAGATATGACTTGATTTTGTCTTCTTCTATAGCCTTATATTAAAAAAATATTCTCTTGGTTAAAAAATATAGACATTTTTTAAAAAGCGTTTGCTAAAAAATGAGAAGTATTTTTAATAGGGCTAAAGTGTACTCTCTTCGTTTAAAAATATAAGACATTGTTAACCAAATTTCACCCCTAATAAAATAATTACCTACTTTTAATTAACCCTATATTTTTATATTTATCCTTATTAAATATCCTACAATAAATATAAATTCATTATCAATAGGGGCACTTTTAAAATAAAAGCAATGATTACACCTCAAAAGACTAAAAATATCTTACATTTTTTAACATCTAACTCCTCAAAAAATACCTTACACTTTTGAATGAAAAGAGTTTTTTTTATCTCCAAATTTTTTTTCAATAAACAATTTTATCCCTATATTGATAAGTGACATAATTTTACCCTTGAATTATTTTTTTAGGGAGTGCTAAGCACCTTGTAGAAAGCTTTTTGCTCCTTAAAAAAATAATTCAAGAATAAAATTGTCACACTTATTAGTATAGGGATAAAATTACTCCTCGAAATAAAATTTAAAAATAAAAATACACCTTAAACCTTTTTAATATTTTAAAATATAATTAATATATTTTTAAATTATTTATGATAAATAAATCACTTTATATTTATTTTAAAATAAAATAAAATATTAAATAAGTATAAATATAAAAGAGGATGTTAATTTCAAGATAATTAATTACTTTATTAAAAATAAAATTTAATTAAAAATATTTTACATTTTTTAATTTATTAAGTGTAACATAAATTAACTTCTGTTTCTTTGTTGTTTTTTTATTAGAAGCAAAACTACAATTTCAAAAAACATTAATTATATTTTTTTAAATTACCCCTCACAATGAATAGTCTCATTAGATCTGAGAAAAAATAAACATTAATTACATAGACATTGTAGTCTAAACTTTTCAATTTTAAATATAAATATTATGATTAACTAATTTTTTAAATTATGCAAGTTGATTGAAATTATCCTATATTCAAAAACAGAAGGAGTATAAGTTATCGTTAATAATAATTATTTTAATATTATTTTTTTATTATTTCACACTTTAAATAAATTTTTTATTAAAAATTAATATTATAATTTATATTTTATGAATTTTATTAATGTGTGTATATAAATAATTTTATTTAAAAAAGCACCTTATAAACTGAGATGGGCATCAAAATTAAAAGTACCGTCTGCCAGTAACTTTGTATAATAAAAAGGGGCCGAATTGAAATAATAACATAAATTCCACTCCTTTCTCGTAGCACAATATAACATCTTTTAAAAATTATACTTGATTCAAAATATAAAGTATATGATAATTTTTATAATTATTTTTTTAACTATATCCTTCATTTATTACTCTTTTTTAAAAAAATAATGTATTAGAATTTTAATTGTTATAATTAAGGCACTTGTATATAATATTTAATGAGAATAAAATTAGTTTCACCTAATATTTTTTTATAATTGTGAAGTAGTTATCAATATCCTATATTATAATCTAAAAAAAATATATCTTTATTTTATATTTTTTTCTAACTTTGCAATATAATTAGAATAGGAGGGATCCGAATGTTTAAAAAGTTTTTTTTTTTTTGGCCCATTATATGGTTCTATATCCTAAGCTAGTTGAACCAAGCACTTTCAGTAGTAGCGCTTGAAAGTTTTTTTAGAGAAAACATAATTATAAATCTCTATAATTTTATCAAGTTTTATTTTAGTCTATATATATATTTTTAATATTTTTAAGAAAAATAAAAATAAAATTTATTTGAAACATATAAATAATGATTTGATCTCTCAAAATGCTATAATTTTTTTTAAAGTTTTTGGAGACTTTTCTGTCATTAATAAATTTATATAAATTATTAAATTGTCCTTGTTGAAAATAAATGATTCGCAACAATGCAATGGCAAATGACAACTTCACATGTTAAATTCCTTATTTACTATTATATTATTGTGAATATAAAAATAAAAGTTGCAAATATAAGAAAAAAAATTATTAATCATTTATTTTCAACAAGTATAATTTGATAATTTATATAAATTTATTAATGATAAAAAAGTCTTTAGAGCCTCCAGAGAAATTATATCATTTTGAGGAATCAAATTGTCATTTATATATTTTAAAAAAATTGTATTGTCATTTTTCCTATTTTTAATCCTTATAGGGACCTAAAAACAAATATCTCCCAATCTTTCTAAAATTACAGGGATTAAAAATATTTAAAAAATTACATAAAAGTAAAATTTAATAAAATTATAGAGATTGATAATTTTGTTCTCCCTTTTTCTCACACACTTTATTATTTAAAGGACTCACGTGGAACAGAGTAAAATTAAATGACTAAAATAAAATTTATTACTTTCGCTCATAGCTTGAAGTTACTTTATTCAATATTGCACGGCAATCAAAAGAATCTTATAATTAGAAGATCAAAATAGCTTCATGTATATAAGTAACTAACAAGTTGACAATTTGCACTCTAATTTTTTGTTGATAGATTGAGGACATAAAGCACAAAGAAAAAATTACAGACGCAGACCAGGTTTATGGTGGAGGGGGCTAACTCCTAAGACCCTTTAATGCCCCAAGCCACTATATTATTTTTTTTTTCCCAGTAGCTCCCCTTACATTTTTCACACAGTACATAATTTAGTATTAAGCTATTAACATATTACTTGATATTTTATTTATTCACTATTAACATACTAAATAAAATAATAGATATTGTTAGTTTGTTGAAAATTATGCTCCCACAGTTTAAGCATTTAAAATATTTTTAATCGAATCTCAACTCCCAATAAATTAGTTATATGTATTCAAACTAACATCATATTTTTATATTTATCCTTATTTAGTAGGGTGTTTTATTTGAATAAATTAAAACAATATATTTCTTTATTAAGGGTATTTTAGAAAAAAAATTAACTACACCTTGTAATATTTACATTTTAAAACACCCGACTCCTAAAAAATGCATTATATTTTTTAATGAAGGGAGCTTTTTTTTTTTTTTTTTTTTCAATTTGGCGCCCCACCCTCCAAGCTCCAGTTCCACCTCTGAAATGGTGGAAATGCAACCAATCCTCTCGAAGCCTAATTCCACATATTTATCCTCTACTCATTTGGATCAACAGGTATGTATCCTGTACTTCTGTTCATTGTCAAAGCCATTTCTTAATAACTTCCTTACTTTCTTTTTGAAGTTCACAGAGAAAACCATTTGTATTTATGCTGATTGCTTTTAGAATAATCAAAACTTGATATGTAGATGGAAGATGAATTGATGGTTGATGTCAAAACAGTGATACAAGATAGGAAAGATGGTCGCTTGCTGCCAACATGCTGTATTTACAAGATGCCCCATAAGATTCGTCGTTTGAATGAAGAGGCTTATACTCCAAAACTTATTTCGATTGGCCCTTTTCATTATGGTGATCTGAGGTTGCAGGAGATGATGGACACAAACAAATTTTGTTCAAAGCATTCACACAAAGAGCCAAGTCAAGCTTAGATGAATTGGTTGGCTTTGCAAAACATTCAGAGCCAAAAGTTCGTGCATCTTACTTCGAGAACATCAAACTCAGTGAAGAACTTGCGAAACTGATGTTAGTGGATGCTAGTTTTATCATTGAGCTCTTCATGAGGTTCTGTAATTTTGCTAATGATATTCATAGTGATGCTAAACTATCACAACCATGGTTGATTGCTGCTGTAGGGTATGATTTAGTTTAACTTGAGAATCCACTTCCTATCTTTGTTATTGAAGAGCCATACGATATTGCCTTTCCCATTAACCATCACGGTGACCTCCATTTTTTGAGCTCTCATGCGATTTCTTTCAGTGTTTTAACACACAAACTTTAGAGCCTAACACAGATGTCAAGATAAAGCACTATACAGATCATATTAGACTATTTTACTTGCCAACAGAAGTGCCCGGGAGGAATACACAACCTATCAAAACATTTGGCTCATTCTAATTGATCTAAGTTAACCCGCTTTAACCCAAGCAATTCTTTGAGACCCAAAACAATTGAACCATTTTGACCTTCTTTTTTAATGTGTATAAATATTTTTTATTAAATTATCCTCTCACCAATTTAACCAGTTAAATCATAAAAATTGTGACTCATTGACTTTTTTGGTTCATCATTTGGTTTAATTTTTAAAACATTGCTTAGAATAGAATAGTAAGTCATTTAAATCCATTTAAAAAAAAAATCTTCTCAAGTATTGATTTTTTTTTTTTGGCCAAAACTCAAGTATTGATTTGGATGGAGAGAAAAGGTGGAAAAAAATAGGGCGGAGAGAAAACTAAGGAGAGATTTCAAAAAAAAAACAATTGTTTTTTTTTTACCATTTTTAAGAGTTTTCCCTCCTAGTTTTGCTTCATCTCTATTTTTTTTCAACCAAGGGTAAATGTCAACTTCATAATTTTTCCTAGCCAAGAAAATTTTCTCATCACTTTTTGATGAGTACAACTAAAGAGGGTGGCCAAGAAAAAATCATCAATAGAAGATATTTTGATCAATTGGATTGATATATTGCAGCCAAAAAATGTGAACTACCAATAGAAAAAGGAACTATAGTAAGTTGGTCAAAAATGCTCTAGCATAAGTCCTAGGAGCTCGTAGAAAACAAAAATCGGCACGTTATACTAATGCATAGAATAGACTCATCACCTTCAAGACAGCTTCCTTGAAAGGTTCTTCAAGCCAGAACCGATACATTTAAGAATTACTGTGTGAGTCTTTGGATCTGGCTTTATGACGAACTTTAAATTCAAAAACTCCCTTATGTTTCTCAGTGTTTCTATCCCATGCTGTGATAGCTGTCCGACACGAATCTTGGAAACATCTTGGGGGCATAGCGCGCAGAGAAGAAATAGCAAGCCCTGCATACCAAAGAACAATATTACAGAAAGAAAGAGATTGGTCCGAGCAAATGGAACAAGAAAATAAAATGAGAGTGGAACCTTGTATACTTTTTCCAGCATCAAGGAAAAGCAATTATCTAGGAGCTAGGCTTACTTTGGCTAAACATGCATTAAACTACAGAAACAAGACTTCTCAAAGCAATAACAAGAAGCGGCCATATTCCATTCAGTGAGATTGGCTGCAAAGATCTCACAATGTCATTGAACTCTATTAACAACTAACCATTCAAATGTTTCATTCCTCGGAACTTCTTAAAGCAAAGGAAAATAAAAAAGATTGGCCATCGAGAGTGAAAAGGGCCAGTTTAATTAAGAAATAAGACCTGATGCGTTGAATCCACTACTCCGCCCTGCTGGATCTCCTGGAGTAAAGCATAAGCAGTTTGCTGACCAATGTCTTCTGGGGGTATCAGTTCTTTCTTCTCATCATCTGTGAAGTCGGGAGTTTCTTCAGCATGATCACGAGAAACAGAAGTGTCAACAGAAATGAAGCAACCAGAAGTAGTTTCCGCAACAAGTGAAATGCCATATCCAGGTGACCTATGTTATTAAGAGGAGATCGCCCAACAAAGACAAGGTTATGCAATCAAACTTGGGATTCCCCAAATGCCTAACAAATATATAAACAAATTGTAAAATTAAAGTATATACTGAATCAAAGAAATCATACTTTCCAGCCTGTGAACCAGCTTTGTGATCTGTAAAGATGTGTACATCTGGAAGCAGACGATTGAAGATTCCACGGGCAGCATGAATCATGCTATTTTCAAACTGAGAAGACACTCTGGCGGAAAATGTAACTCCTCTAATCCTCTTAACCATGCCCTCATCAGTCCAGGAAACTGCCTGCTAGGAAGAACATGTAAGATCACAAATAAAACTTACTAAATTTATAAGATCATATAATCATAAATCATTTAAATTAGCAATGAATTCAGATACTCACAGTTAGACTCTGAACAATAGGAACAGACAGAACAACTTCCCCACCACCCTCTGGAGGAACTCCACGAGACTCTATTTTAAGATCCAACCGTTCAGCAGGGACTCCAAAGCGTTTCAGTATGTGCAAAGTGGTAGAACGGAAGGAATCAACTGATGGATCCTTAGAATCATTTGTAATTCCTGATAACATAATATTGAACAGTTGTAACTAACAGATCATCTGGCTATCCCATTATTGTTGCTTTGACTCTTGTATATCACTTAGTTCATATATTTATTTTTTCCCAAAAAAAAAAAATCTAGTTAACATTTATCCCTGTAATTTAGAGGTTACCAACTCATAGTACAAACATAACAGCATATCGTGCAACCATCATCAAGAGCCAGAGGAACTGAAACTAATAGCTACTTTCCATAACTACACCAGTCCAAGTCCGGCTAGCGCCCAATAACAATTATGCACTCATAGGCCATAATTTCACAAGATTACTGTATACAAATATATATCAAATTACCTTACTTATCTAATGAATTAGCATCAACTGGCACTCAATTACCAAAAAGTTTACCAATCAAATTAACAAACATAATTTCCTCAGTTATCCTACAACCTCATGATAACTTTAGAACTATGTGCGATCACTCATCAGAGATAATATCGCAAGATTACCAAAGGGGGAAAAATAATTGACCCAACTTATCTCCAATGAATTTAACATCAAATGGCACTCAATTGCCAAAAGTTTACCAATATAAGTTATGCATATGCTCCACTATTTCTCTTCGGTTTGGGTCATTTTATAGTCATTCAGTAAAATGCATCATGTTTAAAAAGGCACAAGAAATTACCTTTGAGTCTAATCTCGAGGGACTTCTTTCCGAATAAAGCAAGAATTAACAGTGGCTCCAAGAAGTAACCAATGGAACGACTAACACCACAGTCATGCGCAAGATTCTTCCCACCCATAATAACCCCAGGCTTGTACTTCAATTTAGTAGCTATCCATAAATAAAACCGAATTCAGACCCCACAAGACCAATTTCCAGAATTTCAAAAAAATAAATCTTACAAGAAAACAGGAAAGATGAAATTACCAGGTTCATTGATTTCGACATAGCAACCATCGCAGATTTTCTCTAGCAAACGAAGAAAAGAGACCTCGTGTTTCTGAAGACCTGGGAAAGTCTCGTCTGCGCGAATATCCTCGATAATAACCGAAGTACCTGAGAGGGTGGCAAGAACTAATCGTTGCCTGAAGCTCTGACATCCCTTCAACCTCTTGTAATCCGTCTCCCCCATTCTCTATTCCACACTCTCTACAATTGCAAACTTCAGTGTTAGAGGTGGGAGTGAATGGTAAAATTCTCGTTTATGTGCGTCACAGATTCGATCAGGAATAAATGCCAAAACTTTTTTCAATTCAATGCCAATTCCTTGACCACTATCAAGATTTTGAAAACTAATGGTGGAAGCACTGGTTCCTTCCCTCTACCCCTCTCACCACTTTCTCTTCGACTGACGCAAGCGACGAGCAACGGCCAATCGGTGTGGTAAACTGTGATGAGGCAAAGAACGGTTTAGCTCTTCGCGCGACTGCGAGCTTCTTCTGCTAAACAACCATGTAAACTTATACATAGCATTAGCCCTAACAGGGTCTCCAGGATCCGGCCCGCCAGCATCAAGATGACCCGACAACTACAACCAAGTATATTTTATATTTATATTAATTATATTAATATTATATGAATGTTTTTTTTTTTAATTGCTCTAAGAAGTTCTTCTATTGAGAAGCAGGTCGGCAAACAACTCTTACAAATGGATTCAAACATTATTTAGTTATCTTATGAAACACTAATGTTTTTGTTAGATCCAACTCCTTTTGACGCATTTATATATATTATACAAGTAAAATATTATATAAATCCAATGCACCACACTGTTCATATTCCATCAAATAAAAAACATGCAATTCAGATGACTATAAATGTAAATTCATTATGTTGTTGATAATAATAAAGAGAAAATGTAAGAAATTAAGAAGACATTCTATTTCAAAAATAAAGTCGTTAAAAATAATAATATATAATATTTTATTTAATTGAATTAATGTACTTTTATTGCATGAAACATGAATGACGTAATGTATCAAATTCTTGCAAGAATTTTTTATAAGAGAAAATATAATTTTAGTTACTAATTTAAATATGTAAAGAATAAAATGATATTTAAGTTTAATTTAGGACAAAAATTTTTGAAATTTCAGTAAAAAAAAATAAAGGTTATTCTTATACAAAAAAAAGTTAATTAATTTTATATTGATATTACAAAATTTTAAGATTTTTCTTTTCTGAATGTAATTTAACACTGAAATTTGGAAATTTGACATTAATATTCCAATATGTCAAAATTTGACAATAATATTTCAAAGTTGTTTATTTATCAAATTCTGAAATATCAAATAACAAACGATTTGTCGAGCTTTGATGTTTCAGTGTCAAATTTTGACCCAAAAAAAAAAATGTAGTGTCAAATTTTAAAATATTAATACCAAATTTTGAAATAACAATATCAAATTACTAAATGACTTATTCCATTATTAAAATTTTAGAATCTTTTGGTCTCAAACTAAACAAAAATGCCATCCCCTTTTTTTTAGCAAAAAAAGAAATTTCATCCCCTTTTAAATTTATTTTTTAAATGGAAAATGATACCATCATTCACAAAGGAATTTACAAGGAAGAATATATACAACCTAAAGAGAAAACCCTTTTAAATTTCTACACAGCTATCATTCTAAATTTAGGAAAGATACTCAACCAATCTTTTTAACAACTTATGAGAATTTTATGATTTAACTTCCAAACTCTTTTAGTTAAAAAACAAAAATTCACAGAGCTTGCATGAGAATATTAAAGATAAATATATGGTTATCTAAAATAAAATAAAATTTTCGATAACTATATAAGATGAAAAGTCCTCATGGCATTTATTAAAAAAAAGAATTAAGTTATATTTTTACCCTTAAACTTTTCACAAAACACCATGATCATTTTAAAGTTACAGTGATACAATATTGTTCCATTAAGTATTAAAAGATATGCAATGTGGACATGCATGGAAGTAATTTTAATTTAAGAATAATTAGTATGTGGCCCATGCTTTGCACGGATATCAAATGAATTGATAAAATATTATATTTTATAGCTTATAAATATCATCATTTATTAAAAAAATTATAAATAAATAAACATTTAAAAATTAATTTTAGTGTGAAGAGAAAATTAAAATATGCCATATTTAAGTGGTTCTATTACTTGGCATAACCCTAATTAGAAGATCATTAACACAGTTGTTTTTTTAGAAATGTTACTGCTAAGTTTCATGCATAACAAAGAAGGATTTAACTTACTCCAAGTACTTGAAGGATAAAGAAACTAAGCTATATGTTTAACCTCCTAAGTCACCAAAATCAAATAATGAAAATGAAATAAAACACTATTTTAGGTCATCACAATAGACAAGGGCTTGAATTCAAAAATAGTTAAAACTGAGATCCTAAAAAAATCTTTTTAAAAAAGTATTTAAGTTCAAATAAAAATTTAAAATATACATAAAAGAAATACAGAAACATTGCAAAAGAATCCAGCACAAGCATACATCAAATGATGGCAAATTGAATATAGTCCACTTTGTTGTATTTGCTGCGAGACATGGCATGGTGAGAGAAACCTCTTGCTGTGATGTGTACTGTGACACAAGCATGACAACTCTTTAAAGCCAACTATGGAACAAAATATCACTCTCACTATAGAGACCTTAAATGCACTAAAAACCATGCAAGACACTTAGCTCCTTTTCCTTCCACCATACCAATCCTTATAAAATACTTCCTACAAATTACAATATAAGTCATACTTAATTAATTTACTATTTACAAATAATATTATTTAAAATTTTAAATTTTTAAAAATATTCATGTCTTTTTATTTATACCCCCATTAAATACTTTACATAAAAACCTTAATAATAATAATTAAAATTTTAATGCATGATTTAAAAAAAAAGAGTAATAAATAAAGTATGAGTATGGTTAAAAAATACAAATGTAAAAATTATCCAATACCCTATAATTTTAAATAAATAAAATTTTTAAAAAATACTTTATATTATAATCTAAAAAGAATATAAACATTGATTTCTTTTTATCTTTTACTCTCTCCATCCCTTTTAATTGAATTATATAAATCAATAAAAATTAATTATTCACTTAAAAGCATAACAATATTCTACCTTTACAACTAATTATTATAAATAATAAACAAATCTCTTTTTTTAAAATGAATTTATGAATCCTTTTTTTTTGTTCCTTTCCGATATAATTAAAAATATAATGATCCATTTATTAAAAAAATATACTAACATCTTATACTTAAAAATAAAAAAAAATTCTAAGAAATTTCTTATAGATAGAACAATGGAGTGAGTATTTGCTTTGCCTTGTACCACACAAGGAGCCTTTCTTTTTCTTTCCCATATCAAAACCAATATTTCAATATTTTCATCCAGAGTTCATAAATATATCTTCCATACATGTATCCATTTGGCAATTAAACCAACATTAACATGATCAAATATAATTTCTCTTATATAATATAATTAAATTAAATGACACCCAATTAGGCATCATGGAAAAATCACAATCATTTTTATTAATTAATGCAAGAAGAGGAGGAAACAGAACCTATACTCATGCAATCTTTCTTGAGTATATTTGCTGACCCTATATACAAAAAATGTAACCTATAAATTTCCAAGGACATTGGTAACTCAAAAACCTAAAGTTACAAGCATCCTAGAGATTTTTTTAATTGAACTTCACTTGAATTAAATAGAGAAATAACACAGAGATGCAAATAGGTCCCACATTTTTTCTCTCTCTCTCCCTCATTATTTCATCTGAATTAATTTCAAAAGATTGACTTCAAATTCTCCAAATGCTTGCGTGCAGAAATATCTTGCCTCAACTATCTCCAGCAAATTTATAATCTCGCCGCATGAGAGGGAAAGACAACACAAAAGTCATGAGAGAGAAAAACTGGGACCCACCTCCCTGACTTTCTCTCTCCGATCCTATTCCATATATCAAACTATACATCACATTTGGAGAAGATTATTCACTGTAACTGACACAGAATTTGTCCGCTGCAAGTCCTGTAGTATCTCTAAAGCTTTAGATTCTAAAACATATCCAGACAAGCAATAATCTTAATTCTTAACATAAACAAGAATGCCAAGAACTACTGATTCCATTAAACATGAAACATTCGAGCAAATGCACAAACTTATCGTGCATTAAATATTCCACAGTGTAAGTACACCATAATTAGAGTTTCACAGGACAAATGCCATCTTACCATCCTTTTTTATTTCATTTTAGTAAAAATACAGGAAACTCAATCATCATCATCAATATCAATATCAAATCTAAGCATGCAGCGCTGTTCACAAGCTGTAAAGAATACAACTCAAGTTTTTCAGACTCCAAGAAATACATAAGACCAACCTGCTTAAAATAAAATAACATTAGACATGATGAAAAAGTTGAGAGAAGAGTTTCCTAATACAAAGACAAGTACGAAAAAAATTCCAATTACAATACTTAAATAACAGAGACGCATATGAACCCCATCAAAGACAGTGCCTACAAGTATGGTAGTTACAGAGCCTATGGTTGGTTGGGGGTTGGGGGTTTCCCTGCCCATGTTTGATTAAGGCATGCCCATGTTTGATTAAGGCATGATGAAGGGGAGGGGAAGCCCCTCCCGTCTTAATTAAAAAATATATTTTCATATTTTTTATATTTTAAAATCAAATAATTCGGTAAAATATAAATATATATATTATTAGCATGCAGTCCCGCAAAATATTAAAGTAAATCAGATTGGTTTGCACTGTTTGACAACCAGACAATGAACTATAGATAATCAGAACGACGCTGGAGCAAACGAAGGTGCAAAGGTCTGAAAGTGGGAGAGGTCGAGAAGCAGGGAGGGCACCACAGGAAATGCTGTCTTCCAACATCTCTACACATGTGGAGAGAAAATTTCAAGGCAAGGGTGGTGGGACCCACACCTTATTTTCTCTCCCTACTTTTCCTTCCCACTAATTTTCTCTCCTTTTCCAGACAAGTGAAAATATGTTTTCTTTCATGTTTTCTCTCCTGGTTCTCTTTCCTCCCATACTCTCTTCCCATCAAAACAAAGAGTTAAATTATCATTACATGGTTTCCCAGAATAGGTCTCTTCGTCACATCAAACATGTGCCAACCTAATTGACCTCAATAATACTTGATGATCTCATTAAGAGGATGAAATTCAGAAGATCTATAGAACGATCTGGGTATTAGGCAAATTTTACACAAAGTGGGCCACTCGTAGCCTGTTCACAACCAAAACAAAGTGGAAAGCTGGATTATAAACTGCACTCAATTGCCATCAAGCATTCCAAACCCAAATCTTAAAATTACTTACAACCAACTCCATTCATCCCAATATATAAGGTGTTTTTTTAGAAGCTTGTTTTGTCCTTAAATACAAGGGATGTCATGCTT